GGTTCGTCAATAGAGGGTCCATCCGGAAATGTTCCGATCCCAGCTTCCAGCATAAGTAAATGACATGTGGTTCTTGTCCGATATGGGTTCTAGATGAAAGGCGTCGATCCCAGTCTCCAGCCATATTCTTCGATGCTCTGCTTCTCTATAAACAGATATTCCGGCGACAGGACCCCACATGATAATATGTTCGGTCAGTCTGGAAGTCGTCCTAATCGTCGTTCCTACGACTGCGGAGGTCATTTTCTTGCTTCTTTTGCGCCATTATCTTTATCCCCCTGGCGCGGGCCCTCTTCCCGCCCGCTGCTTTGCCTCCTCCTCGCCCTCCTGACCCCCCCCTCCCATTGCAATAGCGCGCGCGTCGATTCTCCTTGGCGCCGTCGGCGCTTCGATGGGCAGGGCCGCGTCTTCCGATGGCCAGGTCGCGAAGCCGTTGGGGCGACCTCGCGGGCTGCGCCGTCGGGGCAAACCCGCGGGCCGCTGGTTGGCGCGGGACCAAGCCGCGGGGGCAACTTGGGCTTCGAACGGGGCGTAGCCGCGCTCGGGCGGGAGGCAGCGCAAACCCACCTCTGCGGCGAGTTGCTCGGCCTCCGCCCTGGAGCTCGCCGTTCCCTCGTCGAACGCCCCGTGCGCCTTCTGGATGGACGCTGGCGGCCTGCGCTCCAGGAGCTCGCGCCAGGGCGGCGGCGGGATCAGTGTGTTCCGCAGGCACGTGGCGCGGGAAAACGCGACGTAGAGGCGCACCCACCAGTGCTCGTCCGACGTGCCGTGCAGCCAGCGTCCGACGTCCTCATCCCTGGCACGGTCGATGGCGACGCCCTTGCGCGGCGCTGGGTCTTGCGACAACGCGAAGGTGAGGCGGGTCGCGCGCCAAGGTGAACCCCGAGCTGCGCGCGGCGTGCGGCCCCGAGCTCTGCCACGTGAGGTCTTGCTCGCTGCGCCTGAACATGAGCGAGCTCCGCGCCCGCGCCTCGGCCTGGCCGTCGCCGCCAATGCCCCCGGCACCTTGTGGCAGCATCTCGGCGACCTCGTTGTAGATCGGGGGCCCGTGGGACCGCGCGCCTGCATCCATATTCGCTGCTGGAGGAAGCGGTGGGTGGAATAGCTCGCTTGGCGCGCGCCCCCCGCGCCGCAGCCGACATGCGGAGTCCAGTTTGGAGGTGGGTTCCTGCCCGAGACTTCCTCACGATTTACTCAGAGACGATTCTCCCGCTCAAGATTTCCTCTGGACCAGCGCCTCAGGAACCCATCTGTGGCGACAGCAGGATTTTGATGGCCTTCTTGGGTCACTCATGTGATCTGGTGGCCCCATGGGGAGGGGGCGCCCGCCTGAAACTTCTTCGCAGTTCAATAACAGAAGAAACCCCTGCCCGAGACCTCCTCCAAATCCACGCCTGGGGAACCCAACAACGACAACAATTACATAATCTGGATGGCCCACTCGGATTATTAACGTGGTCTGGCGACCCATACGGCGGGGGGGGGCTCTTGAGAATTCATCAGACTTCATTCGCAGCCAAAACCCCCGCTCGAGACGTCCTCCAAATTCATGCCTCACTCGCCCAAAGAAAGGCGACCGTCACAGGATCCGAATGACCCGGTCGGAATATTTACTTGATCTGGCAGTCCATAGGGAGGGGGGGGCCTTCCTGGGCCCTCCTGGCAATCCATTCGCAGACGGGGCTCGCGGTCAAGACTTCTTCAAGACGAATGCGTGCGCTTGTGAGTGCGGCTGGGATTGATGATAAGTGCGTGGGCGCGTGTGGGATGATACGGACGGTGGTGGCGATGATGACGGCGATGCGGATGATGGTGATGATGTTGTTGTGTGTGGCGGGAGGGGTCTTCCTGATGCTCCTGCGCGGGGGCGCCCAAAGAAAACAACATAACATGTAGACTGTCTGGAATTGAATAGGATACGCGCCGATGTCAGCCACTCGAACGATGTTTCTATATTGTTTGATTTTTCAATGGCGACTCATTCGGAATCGCGCCGATCCCAGCCCCCAGCTGAGTTCTTGTATATTTGATGTTTCAAGAGGAAACCTATGAATCGTGCGCGCGCCGATCCCAGCCCCCAGCGTACTTTTCCCATTCCGCATTCAATAAGGATTACGCCGTTCCTACTTGCCTGCAGGATTCTTACATGTCTCATTCGTTATTCAGTAGGGAATCCATTTGGAAACGCGCCGGTCCCAGCCTCCATGACGAATCTGGTAAATTTCATTTGATTTTCCAATTGGGATTCAAAATGGAACGTGCCGGCCCCAACTTGCTGCAACATTTTTGTGTAGTTGTTTTGTTCCCCAATGGGAAAGCATTAAGAAATATACCAGTCGCAGTTCCCCGCACGATCCTGTACTAATTTTCGTCTGTGCTGCAATGGGAATCCAATAGGAGTTGCGAAGATCCCAACCTCCCGCAGAACTCTTTAACATCGTGTTTTGGTTTCAGTAGAAGTTCAAGAAGGGATACGCTGGCAGCAGCCTCCCGCAGAAGTTTTGAATTATCTGATCTTTTCCCATTTGGAATTCAATCGGAAACCCGCGGACCCCAGCCTCCCGAAGGGTTCTTCCATATTCTGCTTCCTTTTCACGCAAATGAATTCCATTGGACATGCGCAGATCCCTATTTCATGTACGTTCCATTTACGTTCTCTAGATGTTTTGCATCGTTGAGTATACGGTGTTTTACGTTCGGTACGAATTTCGTTTTGGTGTCATATCGGTATCTGGGCGTCCTGAACGTTACATGAACGTGTCACGTGCGTGTCATGTGTGCTTCCTATACGTGCCATTTTCGCTTCCTACACGTGTTCAATGTGGTTCAGATGTGTTCCATCCATGTGTCATTGTAGTTGTATTGGCATGCTGTCTATGTTTCACTGGCATATGCGTCATGTGAACGTTTTATACACGTTCCGCCTACGTTTCATGCACGTGCCGCATACATTTCGCATACGTGTCTTATGAGTACCGCTTACGTGTCTCGAACGTTTCGTGTACGTTCCCTACAAGTGTCGTACACGTTTCGTTTACGCTCGTATACGATATTAAGTTCGAGTGCTTTGAGCCAATATGGGGCTGTCCTGGAGCACTTGGGACCCGCATGTCAGAGGGCAGTGGAATGGTCTAGATCCCATCAGCGCACCATGCATGCCGAGTGCGCTCCCTCAAGGAATGCCATTCGGTTTTCATTTCCACGGTGGTCCTGCAATAGCTAAGTCACAGGATGTTTTCTGGTGGCGGGTATCTGAACCGTTACGTTTTTCCTACTGGTTGGGATCTGAACCGCCCAGTTGGGATTTGAACCGTCCAGCTGGGATGTGACCCCATCGCGTCTTGGCCCCCGCGGACCTGGACGATTGGCACGTGCTGGTCAGTTGCTTGATCTTCGTTTTGGGCTTTGGGGTGCCGTACACAGGCACCCTAATCTAGCAGTTTGTTCGTTTGTTGATTACCCGAAGAGTACTTGCAGTGATGAGTCCTTCTTGTGTGGTAAGGAATCGGCTGGGAGTTCCTGGTGCTCTCCTGGTCGGCGCCCGTGGCCGCCACGTGGGCCCCTCGTGTTGGCTGGGAGCTCCTGGCTTTCGACTGGTGGGCCCGTGGCCGCCTCGTGGGCGCCTGGTGTCGGCGGGGATTTCCGGGCTGTCCGGCGGGCGCCCTGCGGGCGCCTCGTGCGTTGGTTGCACCACGCAGCTTGCACCGCACAGCTCACACGGAATAGTTTGGGCCACCCAGCTTGCGCAACGTTACTTTGCACCACATACAGTCATAAACAAACAGTGTGCACGCGTTCGCACGTCGAAGCCAGACCAAACACACCAAACCCATCAGGCGCGCAAGCACTTCAACATTCCACAGATCAGAAATGTTTGGTTTGTCAATCGAAATCTGCACATGTTCTGCCCGTGCGCTCTTGGTGAAATTGTAGGGGAACCATGCGATGTTCGCAATCTCGTCCAGAACCCGCTTTCTCATCTCACCACGCGGTGCATTCACGTTGATCCAGCAAGCGCTGAGCGCATGAACCCGCATCGAAAACAACACCACGCGGGCTACATGCGCGCGCAGCCAAAGCGCGCTAGTGTTGAAATCCTTCCAACACCACGTCTTCCGAAGCTGATCAAGATAGAGCTCTTCAAGCACGTATGAATTAAAAGTTGATTTCAACAACAACTCTGTCAGGATGTCTTGGATTATTGCGCTCGCGCACTTCCCCATCACCCACATCATGGTCATCGCATGATCGACGTTATTGTCATCGTCATTCGCCGCCATTGCCGCCGTCATCATTTTGACCATATTCATCACGGGCAGATTGACAGCATCGTCGTTATCGTCGTCACCAGCATCGGCGCCGTCAGTGGCCTTGCCGTCGTCATCAACATCATTGCCACCACCATCGCTGTTATCATCGTCGTTTTGGCCGCTGTCGACGTCATTATGATATCGGGCCTGCCCGAGTCGCAGACCCGATCTGAAGTGCCCGCGCGCCAGTGCGGCTTGTGAGACGCGTTGGGCAGTTCTCATCGGTATGCGCCATCGCGGCCGCATCATTTGCGCCGCTGCGCCAAACCAACTGGCCAATCTCCACGTGAGCGGGCGCGCGCCAGCACGACCGTAGAAATGCGCTAGCATGTTCCAACCGGGAGCTTCAATCGTAGTCAAATAGGTTCTGCCGAACAAGTGGCGGTTGGGAGGATGGGGTGTTTGCGTGAGCATTGGGGTGGACGGCCTATGCTGCACATCCGCATTGCATGTTCAGTGGTTGGGGCCTACAGCGGCACATGTGTAAACACATCAAACGTGAGCACATGTAGATTGCAGACGGTTGTACAGAAGCGGCCGCGCAGATTCAACAACGCGCAGGTGGACATGCCAATTCATGGGAGATACAAGTTTCAAGTTCCCGTGGTACTCATTCTTTCCGATCCCATCTTTTCACCCACCCCGTTCTATCCATGGCCGTTCTACATCCCGGCCGTGAATGTTGAGGTCATGCCGACGCACGCTGCGCAGAGCTTGCTAAGACCTGACGACATCATTAAGGGCAACGTCAAGGCTTGGCAGGATTTGGGAATGATGGGGGGGGGGACGTTTTGCTCAGAGCCTGTCTTTGCCACGGTGGCGTCAGAAGCAATAACATCAGCTTGGCTAGAGATGAACATCATAATTTTCGCGCGGAGGATTGCGGGGCTGGCCCCAGCTCCCAGCTCCCTTTCCCAGGCTCCCTCAATTTTACTACGGATTGGATTCTCGCGAGCGGTGTCCTATCATATTTCATTGGCATCACCCTTTTGGAAGCATGACCCCTCACATCCTGCAAAGGATCATCGCCCTGGGAACGAGAGTACATCGCATGTTGATGGATTGTGGCATCGGCGTCAGGCTTAATTTCGTTCGAATAAAGCTGCACTCTTACGTTCGTTCCCCAGGCCGTCCTTCATTGCATCGTACCCTCAAGCAAGGGGAGGTCGGGAACGTATAGGTGCACGTCTGTCAGGCACGGGTTCTGCCTCCAGCCAGAAGTTCATGGGAGGTTTTCCAAATGGTGCATACTGTAGACACGTCACATGAGAAATTGGTTTGCCAGCAGGTGCGCCACGGAAGAGACCGATTCCTTCATGGCCTCTTGGGGCCCAGTGAAGCCTTCGGGCACCTGAAGAAGCTCAAACATCGACGCAGAATCTGCCCGAATCATTTTTGTAGCAAGATTTCATGTCGTATGTGCCTATTGTATGTGTTATTACTAGTGGGCTCGTCTGGGCAACGTCAACAGCGGTGGTTGCGCGATCGGGCGGTGGGTTCCGTGATGGTTGCGCGGTCGTTGCGCGGTGCGCGGTGGATTGCACACCAGGCAGCGCGGTGGGTTGTGAGGGCATTGCGCGGTGGTGGCGCATGTTGGGGCGGGCGGCGGATCGCAAGTTTAGTTGCGAAGAGTTTCCTCCTCCTCCTCCTTCTCCTCCTCCTCCTCCTCCTCCTCCTCCTCCCCATCATGCTCACTTCTCCTCCTCAACCTGACCGTCTTCCTCCATCCCCTTCCCCCTCCCTATCACTTCTCATCCGCACTCCTTCATGTCTCCTCCCCCCTCCTTCCTGCTCCCTCTGACCTGCTCTGCTCCTCCCCCCGCCATTCCCCCTCCTGATACTCCCCCCCCAGCGGCCCTCAGAGCCGCTTCGCCCGGACCCACTTGTTAGGCAAGCGGCTTCTGCTGCTGCAAGAATCCTCCTCCTCCTCCTCCTCTCTCCTCCTCCTCCTCTTTTGGGTACTCCCACTCCTCCTCCGTCTTCTCCTCCTTCTCGTCTTCCTCCTCCTCCTCCTTCTCCTCCTCCTTCTCCTCCTCCTCCTCCTCCTCCTCCTCCTCCTCCTCCTCCTCGAGCTCCTGGTCCGGGTCTCAGGACGTCCTGTTCCCGCGGACATGTTTGCCCGGCTAGCCCTCGTTGGCCAATGCACGGACGCGGCTCGTCTTCTGGTGATGCGTTTCCACCTTCATCGGCACTTGCATCAGGTCCGGAAGCGCGGGCCTGACGGGGCGGTTTCCGACCGGCAGGGTTTCGAGTGTGCCCGAGCCGCTCGGGCGGCTACAGACCTCCCGCGCGGCCGGCGAGCCGCCCCAGCCGTCGCCCGCGCCCGTCAACGCGCGGCAGCGGCTCGCCCAGGGCGTTAAGGAGCAATCGACCTCATTGTGACGCTGGCCCCCCTCCTCCTCCTCCTCCTCCTCCCTCTCCTTCCCGTGCCTCGGCGATGATGGCGCCGACGGCGACGGCGACGGCGTCCTCACGCGCGCTGCCGTCGGCGTCGCCAGCGCCGTCGTGTTGTCGACCGCCGCCGCCGCCGTCCCCCCCCGCCGCCACGCGCACAGGCCGTCGCCGCCGCGCTCGCCGTGCTGCTCCTGCGGAGGCCGCAGCTACCAGGCAGGGTGCCCGAAGGCGCGAGGGGCGCGCCCCAGCGGCCGCGGCTGCGGCGGCCACCTACCGCCGCTGAGGGCGATGAGGAGCGTGCGGTGGCGGCCGCGGGAGGTGAGGAGGAGGAGGAGGAGGAGGAGGAGGAGGAGGAGGAGGAGGAGGAGGAGGAGGAGGAGGAGGAGGAGGAGGAGGAGGAGGAGGAGGAGGAGGAGGAGGAGGGGAGCCGTTGCCTCCCGGGGGCGCGGACCTCCCAGCTCGACCCTTCACACATGGGCACATGGGCGGGGGGGTCCCGCAGAGGGGGCGACAGGCCAGGCGCGACGCCCGCCATGGCGCCGGGCGGCCATGTCCGAGGCCACGGCGCGGAGCCCGCGGAGCCCGCGGAGCCCAGCAGCGACGCCAACCTCAACATAAACACCTAGTGCTACGAGTCCGCTACCGACTGGGGACACCCGAGACCGCTGCGCGGCGTGGCGCAGCGGATGGCCTAATTTCGCGGCCCGGAGACGCCTGCCCGTCAAGATGGGCGACGACGTGGCCATGGTGGTCAAAAACATCAGCCAGAGGGACGACAGGAAGCCCTACCAGTCCGCGCCCAACTACAAGTACGTGATGATCCAGGTACCTGCCGCCAAGACGCACAGCGACGACGCCTGCGTCAACACCTTCGCCTACGGTCCCGCCTACGAGTCCAAGACAGGACCCGATCAGCCACATCAACCGGGAGCCGCCCGCGTTCGCGCAGCACCCCCGTTGCCTCGTGCCGCCCTTCCTTCTGCGTGCCTAGGAGAAGCATACCATTCGGCGGCGAGTCTGAAGACGACTGCGGAGGCGGCCTTCGGGAGAACTGTCGATCGCATGAGTGACGTGGGTGGCAATATTTCCAAAGTGGGTGGCAGCATCGCCAACGTGGGCGGCACCATTTTCAACGTGGGCGGCAGGCACCAGGCTGAGTCGGCAGCCCGAGCTGAGCTGCTGCGCCCGCGGAGGCCAAGCGCCAGGCGGACGCCGCGCGCCAGGCAGACCGCGGCTGCACCGTCCCCGTCGAGAGCTTGCTGCTGGACATGGACGCCGACACTTTCGTCGGCACCGCCAAGAACGGGAATGGAGCAGATTCTTCTGCTGCCCCTGTGCAGGGCTGTGGCGGCGCGGGCTCTTCTGTTGCCCCTGAGCAGGGCCATCGTGGAGCAGCGTATGCTAAGTATTGCCCCTGTCCAGGCGTTCGCGGCGCGGTCTCTTTTATTGCCCCTTGGCAGGGCCACTGCGGTGCAGTGTCCTCCGTTGCCCCTGGGTTGGCGGCGCAGCCTTTTTTTGCCCCTGGGCAGGGCCTTGCTGGTGCAGTCTCTTCTGTCGCCCTGAGCAGGGGCTCGGGGTCGCAGCCTACTACAATGACCCGGTGCAGGGCCAGAGTGGGCACCTCCAGGAGTGGCGACGAGTGAGGCTAGTTGGGTTGCATGCGAAGTCCAGCATCAACGGTAGAGTAGGGTTACTGTGCCCCTCCGACGAGACCTCGAAGCGTTTGGCGTTCCGCGACGGGCCCGCCCTCATCCGAGTCAAGGCCGAGTCCTTTGAGATCATCGGCGATCGGCAAGCTATGCACACATTGTTTGCACATGCCTTTTTTGCTCGAACATGCCAGCAATACCTAAGTACCTTGGCATGCTGCAGAACGAACATGTATTCAATCGGACACGTGCCACGGCGGCCGACGAGGGCCAGTCTGGAGTAGCGTCACTTCTCCAACAAATCCAGGCCGATGGGGCCCTTTTCAACACGACTTACAGCACATTCGCGTCGTGATGCTATCGGCGCCGCGCACTCTGCGCCGGTGCCCCGCCTCTGCCCAGCCGCCGACTTTCGACTGCCACCCTTGAGACAACGCAGCCTCGCCTCGGCCGCGCCCCTGCGTGCGGACCAGCCTCGCCGCAGCAGCCCGCCTCATCCCACCCCTGCCCTTCGTTCAATCGTATTTCTTTGCCCCCACCTCCCTCAGCACCGCCTATCGCCGCAGGCCGCCCTTTGTTTTGCACTGTGGCCTCATCACTCAGGGGCGGCCTTGTGTTGCTCTAAGATGGCGCGGAGCAGTGGCGGAATGGTTTAGAGGCCCATCTTCTGGACGCCCGAAAAAAACATTATCATACCGAAATGGTTGGTTCCCGCTGTTGGAGTTTAAGTAGGGGGTGGATGCGGACGTGGACACCAGCGGAGCAGGAGACGGAGGACAACAGCACGCCGATAGCACTGCTGCAGCACGGCCGCGGGCCATATGACCAACGGCCGCCGTCCACCCGCCAACAGATAGCAACAGCGCTTAGTCTCCTCCTCCTCCTCCTCCTCCTCCTCCTCCTCCTCTTGTCGTCGCATCCCGCCACGATACATCCTCCTCTCATCCTGGCATCCATCTCCATCGCCATGTGCTCAGAGTGTTCCGGCGGGCCTCCCCTGGAACATTTTGGGAGCACTTGTTCCAGTCTACCTTTGCTCGCACAGCCGTGCGTGCCCGTCGCCACTCAGGTTTGCGAGGGCGCCGCGCGGGCCCAGTCGGTGCGACCATGTTTGAGACCAGCGGGCCGGGGGATGGAGGACGAGCCCACGCCGCCGCTTGCTCGCTCTTGCCACTGCACCCAATCTGTTCAAGCCAAGGTTGCGACACGCCACCAGCCCTACTCGGATGAGACCACGCCGCCACTTGTTTGTCCGCTCTGCCATCGCACGCCACCTTTCAAAGCCAGAGCTGTGACACGCCACCAGCCCCACTCAGGCTGGGGAGGGACGTGGTGGCACGGGGAGGTTATCATGAGTTATGGACGAGGTATTGTTGGAATGTGGGGGCTGTTGGAGGATGTGGGGCTTCGAGGAGGATGTTGCCCCCGCTGGAGCAGAGTAAGCCTGTGGCTCAGCCTCGATTGCCGAGCGCAGACGGCGCCCAGGGGGCGGGGGAATCTCATGTCTAAGTTAGTTTGAACACGCCCCGCCAGGGGCAAACGCCCCCTGGGGGGGGGGGGGGGGCAGCGTTCGACAGACACCATTGCCACTTGCTCTGAGCTCTAAGGAAGAGGGGAGGAGGAGGAGGAGGAGGAGGAGGAGGAGAAGGAAAAGTTCAAGATCGTGAAGAAGACAAAGAAGGAATAGCTGCAGGATAGTGAAGAAGACAAGGAAGGGGAGTGGATGTATGAGGAGACACCTGACGGGAGATGCAGGATAAGTGAGTTCCTGAGGTGGAGCAGGCTGGGGATTATGTGGGGAACGCGAATGAGGAGCAATTGCCTGGCCGTTTCTGGCTTCGCCGCCAGTCTTGGTACCATTCTGGTCTGTTGCCGCTACCATCGTTGCTGTGCCATCTTGGGGAATCTGCCATCACCAGATTGTTGCCCACAATAGCCAGCCGCACTACTTCACCTCAGGATATGGCTGCTCCTGCTGTTCCTCGTGGTCGTATCCATCATCTGTTTTGTCAGGGCAACCGACGCGAGTCGGAGGTATGCCAGCAGCGCGTGGAGCTTGGTTGAAAAAGTGCCATGTCCAGGCAGCGCAAATGTTTGATACGTCCGCCCATGCGTACTCCATTTAAAAATGATTTGGATGTAACGCGCCCCCCAGCGATGGTCATGGACTTCTTCGGTGCTGCGAGATGGACCTCAACCTCGAACAGGACAGTGCTTTGTAATTGCCACAGTGGCCCCACTGTGTTTCAACTGATCTACCTAAGGAAGTTGCCGTGTTGGCCAGATGTTAGCAAAGGACGGGTCGCAGTGTGGACGTGGCGATGCATGTTCTCCTCGTGTCATCCGTCGCCTGCGTCGCGGAGCCACGAACAAAATCAGGTCATAAGGAACGCGTGGAAGAGCAGAGAACAGGCGTGCCAGCTTCGAGCACCACCCAGAAGGCCGGAACATGCGACACCTCGTGCTATTTTTATTCCAGAAGGAGCTCTCACAGAACTTACCCGGAGTGTCTGGGGCCGTGTTGGGCTGTAGTGGGGTCGTCTCGGGGCCGTCCTGGGATCCTCGTGGGCCGTCGTGGCCCCTCTCGGGCCGTTTTGACCGTCCAGGGCCCCTCTCGGCCGTCTGGAGTGTCTTGGGGTTGCATTGGGGGCCTTTTTTAGGCCATAGCCATACTAGGGCCCTATTGGGGTGACCTGGGCCCCTGTTGGGCCGCCTCAGCGCTATCTTAGCTTGGGCCCTCTTGGGCTATTCTGGGCCCCTCTTGGGGCGTCTTGGCGCTCTCGTGCGGTTGTCCTGGGCCGTCTGGGCGGTTTCTTGGGGCAGTATTTGGGTTCTCTTGGCCTCTCTTTGACTCTCCTACGGTCATCTCGGAATCATGCGCGGTCGACAGACGAGGAAAGCAATGATCTACATGAATACGTTCATACACATGTACATGTGTGTATATATATATATATATATGCACGTACGTATACACATACAGATACATATACAGATATGCATGCATACAACCGCACGCCCGCGATAATAAAGCATCTACCCTTAACCCTTGAGTCATGGTTATCCATGGGGCGGCGGAGCGGAGCGGCGGGGCCGAACTTGATCACCACCAGGGAAAATACGAATCATCTGCTCATCATTACCATTTGTTCTCATCACCAGCATACTTTCTGATAAGGCCGTCGCTCGCTCAGGCCATTGAAGAAACAGCGGCCTCTGACCCAACGCCCCCCCCGCCCATCGCTGAGGCGGAGGGCCATCGACGGCACCCCGCTGGCAGTTGCCATGGCGTACGGGCGGAGCTCCAGTGTGCGGGCACCGCGCGCCTGACAGGCGAGGGGATGCAGACCAGGGGCGACACCACCACAGACCAGCAACCGACGCACGACACCCTGGGCAGCGCCGCGCTACAGCTTCGCGAATCACTTCATAGCGCCCTGGGCCCCCCCACGCCACGAGTGGATCATCCACCACGTGTACCTGTGCCTGTGCATCACTCTCATGCGCGAGAGCTTCACGATGAACAACTACATTGAGACTATGCGCATGGTCGATAATTTCCAGACGATCGTGATGACACAGTCAAGCCACATCCACTTCGATTTCACGCAGCCCTGATTTACGAATTTTCAGCAGTCCACGCAGCCAGAGAGCTTCCGCGCCCTGATCAATCTCATGCCGGTGAACCTAGAGGCGCACCCCCAGATCATCAGTTACGAGGCCCTACAGACAGTCAGGTAAGTTGGTACGATTCGAGCCATCGGCCCGAAGCCTCAATTCGCACGAAGTTACCCGACTGTCGGCCCCGAAAGCACTCCAGACGGTCCCAAAATGGAGGGTGTGAACATGGCTTCTGGCGTCGGATCCGGGTACGGATCCGCTACGGATCCTGGGCGGACCCGATGCATTTTTCAAGGATCCGGGCATTCTGAGGGTGTGAAAACCTATTATGTTTGGACGGATCCTGTCGAACCAGTGTACTTTTTATATAATATGAACTAAAGGTAGTGAAGATTTACGAGGCCGGCTTCCAGTCGGGGGCACGGGGCAGGGGCCACAGGGGGGGGGACAGGCGCCTGCTAGGACTTTTCCGAAGCGTTCCTTCTAGAATTTTGCTGGCCGCGTCGTTCCTTCTAAACTTTGACTGCGCCTGCCCTTAGAGGGTTCTTCTTTTCTTACCAAGGGAAAAGACAATCGCGGAACTGGTGCATTTTCAGACCCCGCGGAGACGTTGACGCACTCATGCTCGGTCTCGTTTACGTTCAGACACACGCTCATTCAGAATCACGCGTCCAAGATCACTCGCGCCCACGCCCGCACGTGCCCAGGCCCAGTCATACCCCAACCCAATTCGCGTCCAGACTTAACCGGTCTCGCCCTGCGCAGGGGTTCACTTGCACGGAGCGACTCAGACTCCCTCTGCCCCGTACAGGGGCTCACTCGCACCGAGTCACTCGGACCCCCCTTTGGGTGGCACCCGCCGAGGGCGCGCGAAAACCGCCCCCCATGTACCTTCAACAACTCGGGAGGCGCGGGCGTGCTGGACGCGCCAACAGGGTCCCGCAAATCGTACCAACATTGTCGGACTGTGTGTAGTGGACGACCGGAAACACTCGAACAATAGAGTTTGTGCGAGGAGATCTTCTCGCTGTCGCGAACCGCGGGGTTAGCGCCACGTGCGCCAGCGGCCCTGCCGCGTCTCTTTCAGCGCGGCCAGACTTGCCTGTGGCTGCCAGCCGCCTCACTAGATTTACACGCGCCAGCCCCCCCCCCAGTCCCAGTCAGATGCTATGCCAGACTCTGGATTAGCAGCAGCGCGTCAGCATTCAGTTACAGTTTCAGTTTCAGTGCAGCCAGACTCGCCCACGCCAGCTGCCTCGACAGTTTCTGCGCCAGTATTGCCAGCGGCAGACGCGGGCAGTTCTAGTCCCCAGGAGGCTCCGTACGACACAGCCGCCGAAGATGAGGCCGCATAATTTCTTTTCTCATAGCAGGCGTCTCCTTCGCTACGTTTCGAGGCAGCGCGATGCACCCCCCCTGTGTCAGCACCCCCGATGCGTGGCCCCGAGCGGGGCACTGCGATAACAATGGCTCTCTGCGGCGGACCCTCAATGTGTGCACGAACAGGCTGGCTCCAGTTTGGTTTGTTCCTGACGCCTAGGGAAACATCCTTTCTGATCATCATCACCCACTCGTAGACCCCCCCAATTGTGGCACACACCCCACACGGTTTGTGGCCCCATGTGGCGCTTAGCGCTATGCTTGCTATATCGCGGTGGGCATCGGACTCCTCTCCTTCCCCTTCTTCCTCCCTCCGCGCCCCAGCTGAGCTTGTTTACCGCCGTCATTGATTCTCACTCCCGGAAAGCAGCCATGAGTATTCCAACACGACGGGCAAATAACCACCAATAGTGTTTTAGTTTACACATAAAACTTGGCAGGCTCGAAACTTTGAGTTCTCTTGGAATCTCCTCCTCTTCCTCCTCTCTCTCCTCGTCGCCCTTCTCCTTCATACCCTTATCCTCCCCTGCTCTTCCTTCTCTTCTATATGTTTCTCTCACGTCTACTCCTTCTTTTTTCTGCTTCCTCCTCCTTCTACTCCCCCTTCCCTCCCTTCCTCCCTCCGCGCCCCAGTTGAACTTCTGTTCCCCCGTCATTTTTCATCACCCCCAAAGAGCAACCATGAGTACTCCTACACGACGATGGACAACCACCATTGAAGCCCAGTAGGAGCCCCACCCAATCCAGGGAAGGCGCCGCCATAATCAAGAGCGAAGAGGATCTGTCAGGCTTCGTGCTCCTACATCCCTACGCTGTACATGCCTGCGTGCGACTTGCAGGAACACATGTTCTTATCCCCCCGGGCCCCCGAATTTCATTAGCCACATGGTGGGATTATCACCGGTACACGGGTATACATATATATATATATGTATGTATATATATAGAGCATACTTATGTGTTTGAACCTGGCGGGGTGGCCACACACACAAACGAATTCCAGCCCCCGAGTTTCTTCCCTGGACGCTCTGCAGGACGTCGCTTCGGCGGTCAGGAGAGCGGCCAGACTGCCCCGCGAGAGCCCCAAACGGTCCCATGTACCTCGAAGGCGCCTGAAAGCGACCCAAAGAGGACACCCAAGAGGCCGTCTAAACGCACACCGCAGCCGTTTTGGCTCAAGCCAGTTGACTATTCAGACTTCCCTGCAATTTTGTCATACCGCTTTACTGGAGAGCTTTGCTGGGCGTCTGCTCAGGCAGGCCGACAGACAGCCCCGAGGATGGCTGGCGAACCGCACCGCGCGCCCCGTGGGCCGCCCGCGCCCCGCCCACGCCCGGCCTGGCCGCCGCTCTTGACGGACGTGGGTGCCCAGCCCGCCCAGCCGCAGGACGACCACCTGCACCTCTGGGCCGCAATGCGGGACGACAGCCGCCACGGCGTACACCCCTCTGGCGGCGAGGGCTTGCACTCGTGGCCCGCCGTGCCAGCGTCGGCGGCCTCGGTCTTGGCTGCCAGGCCGGGCCTCCCGCCAGACCACGCCGCCGCGCCAGCCCCACGGCGAGCTCAGGGGCGGCAAGGGGCAGCCTCCTGCGGCGCGCAGGCGCCACTGGCCGAGCTGGTGCGCCACCACAGCCTCCCTGAGGTAGACCACGAACACGAACGCCGCGCCGACCAAGATGTCACTACAATGGCCATCGTGAATCTACCCTACTCATACCCACAGTGGATGTTGCAGCGGGATATCGACCAGGAGGGCCTTGCGTATGACTATTTCCATGTCCCCCACGACAATCGTCTGACGAGGAACCGTGGGTTTGCGTTTGTAAACTTCCTAACGCCAGAGGCCGCGGACACTTTTAAGCGGTCCTTCAACAGCCGCGAATTTTCCTCCCCAGCGGCTGAGAGCAAGGTGGTCACAGTCTTACCCTCCAGGCTGCAGGGATTCGAGGCTAACGCAAGCCTCCATCCAGGGGGTGTTGTTCAGAAGCCGCAGCTGCAGCTGCGAAAGCACCAGCAGCCGCAATATCAGCAGCTTCGACAGGAGCAACAGCAGCAGACGACTGCCAGCGGAAGCGGCAGCAGTCGAGGCTGCCATGCGGCCGTTCCCGCTGCAATTGGCCGCAGCGCTGGATCAAGCAGCTCTTCGAGCGACGTTCCTATGTTTGTTAGGATATCTCTGTGAAAGCCAAGACTGGTGGGGTCGCACGGAATGATCCCGGTCGAATCTTTTCCGATTTTTCCAGTGTCTCTGGGACCGTCCGTTCAGCGTGGCTCTGCGCCCGCGCTTCTGACCCCTTCCTCAACCTGGGAGTCCCAGGTTCTGGGTCGAGTTTTACTTTGCTGTCCAAGGCGACCATGAAGTATCCTTCTGGCGCTGTGGCCAGCCTGTTTGGGCGTCTTGCGATTTCGCAATTTAGTGCTACAGAAAAACAGTTCGCCTCCTGCGCTCCTGACTCCGTGTGTCGTGCTTCGCGGGCCGCGGCCCAGTTGGCTGTCTCCCTGCGGGCTCGTTAGCTAGATCTGCAATGTGTGTAGCTGTATAGTGTCTCATGTTAGAGTTTCTACATACCGTTGCCCGGTGCGATGCCAAGTGCCGCATGTCCATGGACGAGAGTTGGGTTCAACGAAGCGCAGGTTCATTCGGCTTTGGAATTTGCTGTACTGGCGAATGTGTCGACGATGACGACGCCTGGCATGCAACGGCATTCTCATACGTTGCTTCGCTGCACTGAATCTCCAGTGCCCACCGGGTCGTTCTAATTCCAGCTCCCTGGTATCTGTTGCAGGTCTCACCTTCGTCCGCTCCGATTCTGAGAGTTTCCTCATTGAAGAGGCTCAAGCTGCGAGGTGGTCTACGCCAGTCAGCGGATTGCGGGCACGGTGCTGCTTTAGATATCTGCAGCCTTGGCATACCTATAATCGCGCCCTTCTTCTTAGTGCCCCCTCTGCTTCCTCCCTCCTTGCTTAGTCATGACTTCCTCGCACATCAATCACCGATTGCGTGTGTCCTTGGGCACGGTCCCTGGTCTTGACACTTTAGGCGGTGGCTCATATAATTCGGTGGGGTTGCCGTAATGCTTGCATATGTTCTCCGAGATGCCACCTACGCTGCACAATGCGAATGCATCTGCACAATTGTGCCTAATATCAGACTTGAACTCGTCAGGTGCACCGAGGGAGGTCGCAGAGGCAGCCCCCTCGTGCACCACGACCGTGCCGGCTGGTATGAGACCAGCCGAATCGTGGGCAGACGTTCCATGATATCTCGGCCGCCGCGTGTCGAACCCGCAGGAGCCGCATGGCACGGTTAGCGTTTTCAAAAAAATAACCTAGCGAAGAACCCAACCATATGCAGTCATGAGTACCGCAGTTGTGAGTATCGGCTTCCCTGGAGCTCCCTCTGGGGCCACGAAGCGCTGTACTGGGCGGGGGCCCCGCATGCGGACTGCGCCACTGGGACCTTCGGTGGAGCTCCCTCTGGGGCCACGAAACGCTCTACTGGGTGAGGGAACCGCATGCGAACTGCGGAGGAGGGAGGAGGGAGGACCGGGAGGAGGAATGAGACCGCAGGGCGTTGTCTCTTCAAAACGAGGATTCAACACCACAGGACGGTTGGGAAAAAGAAGCCGTCTAAACGTCTGAACGCACAAGATCTTGCATGATGAATGCAGTTGCACGATTTTTGAGCGCTCGGTTCTTCGGTCTTCCGGACTTCCGAGACTCTCCCAGAGGCCCCAAAAAATCGCAGGGCCATGAGTTGCGCCCCTCTTCTTCCATGCCTACTTTCGACCCAACCAGTTTGACCTCCAGCCTGCACCCAGCCGCAGAACTCCAGCTCCCGACATCACCTCACCGTTCCGACTCACAGTTTCCATCTTGCAACCGTGAAGATCTCCATGTGAGTCAGGTTTTTGCAGGGTTTGAGAGGCCCCCGCGCCTTGCCCAGACGGGCGAAGGCACATGCCTTTCGCCGCATACGCCTGCACCGGCGCCTCGCTCGCTCGCTCTTCGGTGCGCCCTGAAGGGGCCGCGCGGCGCGGCGGGTATGCCGCGCCGTCTCCCAGGGCCAGGGGGGACACGGTCGCGCACACGTGTGTGCTCTATCGCTCGGGCAGGTGCACGCACCTACGCGTGCAGCCCGTAGCTTTTCTTGCATTTTGAGCTCAGTGTCCTTCCGGGTGCTGGCCAAGGAGATGGCGGAGGACGCGGAAGTGTTCTCTGTCTGCACGGACGTCCTCGGGGGCTTGGGCCTGGACGAAGACAGCATCGCCTACGTCGCGCGATGCGCCCTAGACGAGGGCGAGCTGCTGCCGCACGACGACTTCGTCGAGTTCGCCAGCTCGATGGTGGAGGACGTGTGCGGCGGCGACGAGGCCAAGGCGTCAGCGCTCGCCTCCAGGCTCCACGGCGCCCTCGCCGGGAGGTGCGGCGGCGGGGCCGCCCCTTCGCGGGCGCCGGGGGCCAGCGGCACCAGGCAGCTGGAGAAGCCGATTGACATGGGGAGCATGATGAAGGTCGGTGGCCACATGCGAACCCTACCCCACCACCCCACGATTTCTACGGGGGGTGGGGGGGTATGGTTCGCATGTAGACTCCTAGAAGGTGGACGTGGATGCCGGGTGGGGCCTCGACGGCTGCGGGGCGAAGGGCGTGCGCGGCTACGTCCCACAGGAGGCGCTGAAGTCGGGCACCGGGGCGAGCGCGGCGGCCGCCAAGGCGGATAGGAATCAGAGGGAGGCGAAGGCGCAGAGCATAAAGCGGTCCGAGAGGGCCAGGGCCGAGGCCGCGGAGCTGGACGCCGAGCTGGACGCGGCCGCCGAGAACTCGATCGCGTCGATGGGCTCGAAGGGCCTCAACTTCACCTCCGCCGTCAGGGTGGGGCCCTTCGACCTCCCACACCCTGGCGGTCGCGGGAACCTCGTGGACAATGCCTCTTTCACGCTCACCCCTGGCCGGCGCTACGCCCTCATCGGGCGCAACGGCATGGGTAAGTCCACGCTGCTGCGCAACCTCGCCGCACGCCGCTGCGGGGACCTGCCCAGCGGCCTCAGGACGCACTACGTGTCCCAGGACGTCCGGCTCGCGGACGGCGCGGAGGACCACACGCCCGCCCAGGTCTCACATGGTGCATCTGTTGGGCTCTTACATGAGCCATATCTCACCATGTTATTGCCTGAACTCGGATGAATTGCGGATGGAAGTTTTGGAAAAGCGTGTCGCGCCGACGGTTCTGGCCCATCACGCTCCGGCGCGACACGCTGGCGTTCCGGTTCCTGAGCGTCAACGTCTTTCCCAGCCTCCCGCCCTGCGGAGCGGAGCGACACGCTATTAGCTCGCAGGGCATAGCGTGTCGCCGGGGCAGCCGCCGCGACACGCTAAGCAAACGTTCCCGACTGTATGTTGAGTTGTGGTTGGTTTCTTTGTCTGATTTGTGAGATTTGAGGTCTGGGGGTGAGACCGAAGTGAGAAGGAGGCTCCCGACCAGGAGATCGATTTACAGTTCGTGTCGCACGTGCGTGCCAGGCGAAGCTGTGTGAGTGCGAAAGACCTGTCCCGACTTTGGTCCCCCTGGTTGTACTGGCGGTTGTCGCGATGGTTGTCCTGACGGTTGTTCTGATGGTTGTCCCAATGGTTGCCCCGACGGTCGTCTCGATTGTTGTCCCGATGGCTGTGCCGATGGTTGTCCCGATGGTTGCCCCGATGGTTGTCCCGATGGTTGTCCCGATGTTGCATACAAACTGCCACTGAATCAATATGTCAATTGAAATTCGCATCGCAATGCGAACACCAGTGCAAACAATACGCAAGCCGAATTGCAAATCGAAATGTGAATCGACATGCAATCGACATTCGCATCGAAATGCACATCTAAAGATGAGTCGGAGTGGCATCGAAATGCACATGAATTTGCAGTTCGAAATGTCAATCGGAATGCGAATCGAAATGCGAATCGACTTGGACATTGACATGACATTAGAATCGTACATCGAAATGCCACTACAAATGCACATCTCAATGCAAGCCGATATGCACGCCGATCTGAAAATCAACATGTAAATTGACTTGCGAAGCGAACTGCAAACTGAAATGAACATCTGCGTGCGCATCGGAATGCAAATGTACCTGCAATTTGGATTATGAGTCGAGATTCAAATCGACATACACATCTACATGCAAGTGAAACGCCAAAGCGAAATGCGACTCGACATGACGTTGAATTTAGAATCGAGTGCGCATTGAGTTTGCGAAGCGCAATGCTAACAGAAATGAGCATCGGCATACACATCGGAATTTAAATGCACCTCCACATCAGAATGTGAGTCGACATGCACATCGAAATACATTCAAGTTCAAATGCAGTTCGATCTGCGAATCGACATGAAATTATGATTGTACATCGAATGCGCATTGATTTGTGAAGGGGAATGCTAACCGATATGAACATCGGCACACACATCGGAATTTGAAGGTGATGCAAATCGGAATGCTAATGTACATGCTAGTACATCGGAATCCACATCGACATAACAACAACATTGTACATCACATTGTAAATCGAAAAAGCAAATCGGAAGTTGAATCAAATCGCGATCGAAGCGCACGTCGAATTGAAGATCGAAATGCAAGTTCCTCAGCCCCCCTCCCCCCCTCCCCCATTCTCCTTATTGAAAACCAGAGGGGTGGCCTATGAGGTATGTGTCCAGCAATACACCAGACGTAACTTTTGAAGGTCGTCGTCGCCGCGGACGTCCAGCGACGGGTGCTCCTTGAGGAGGCGGAGGTGCTCGCGGGGTGCACCAGCGCCGCGGAGAACGAGCGCCATCGGGAAATCCTCAGCCAGCTCGAGTCCATCGACGCCGCCGGCGCAGCGGCGCGCGCGAGGAAGATGCTGGTGGACCTCGGCTTCACCGACGAGCTGCTTGGCCGGACGATGAAGGCGCTCAGCGGCGGCTGGCGCGTGCGGGTTGCCTTGGCGGCGGCGCTGTTCGCGAAGCCCGACATCCTCTTCTTGGACGAGCCGACGAACCACCTCAGCATGCAGGCGGTTTTGTGGTTAGCGCACGAGATCGGCACCAGCAAAACTTGGGCCGAGCGCATCGTCATCGTGGTCTCGCATGACCGCTTCTTCATCGACGAGACCTGCACGGACACCCTGCACATTTCCGGCGTCGGGAAGCGCCTCACGCAGTCCAAGGGGAACCTCACCTCCTGGGCCCGCACGCGGGCGGACCAGCAGCGGGCATTCGCCAGCAACACAAAGGTCCGCAACGACGCGATCGCGAAGTGCAGGGCCTACATCGCGTCTGGCCAGGCAGCGGCCGGCAACACCGCCAGCTCGGGCCGCAGGACCCAGATCGAGAAGCTGGAGCGGGAGGCGGAGGAGGAGGCGGAGGAGCTGAAGGCGCTCCTGGAGGACAAGGACCTCCCGCTCGAGCTCCGCTCCAGCTCGAAGAGGAAAAACTGCATGAACACCTACTTTCGGAGCCCCGCACGGATTTCTTGGATCCGCGCTGGAAGCCCCTCGCGGCGCCTCCGGCGCCGCCCCTGGCGCGCTCCGCGCGCCGGGGAGGGGTCCAGCGCGGATCCAAGAACTCTGCGCCGAGCTCCGAAAGTTTCTGTTTATATAGTTGTTTCGTTCTTCTACCAGCGGCGAGCTCGACGAGGCGGCGGTGCAGCTGATTGATGTCGCCTTCGCGTACCCGGGCGGAAAAGAGCTCTTCAGCGGGGTGGGCAATTTGCCGCACGAGTTCATCGTCGACACCCAGGCCCGGCACGTGCTCGTCGGCGAGAACGGGAACGGGAAGACGACCCTGATGAAGCTGATGCTCGGTGGTCTCCAGCCCACGCGCGGCAGGGTGCGGATCAACCGGGGCGCGAAGCTCGCGCTCGTGAACCAGCACCATGCGGACCAGATCGACCTGACCATGACGCCGCTCGAGTACGTGCAGAGCCAGCTCGCCGGCGACAAGTCCGAGGCCCAGACCCGGGCCCTGCGCACCGAGCTGGACAAGTCGGGGATCGGCACGGCCTTCCACGACGTCCCCGCCGTCGCGCTGAGTGGCGGCCAGAAGTCGCGCCTGGCCATGGTGGGCGTGAGCGTCACGAGGCCGCACGTGCTGTTCATGGACGAGCCGACGAACAACCTGGATGTCAGCGCCGTGGAGGCCCTGGCGGACGCGGTCGAGGCCTTTGACGGCGGTATCGTGCTGGTGAGTCACGACAAGTATTTTGTCTCCCGCATCGCAAAGACGGTCTGGATCGTCGGAGATGGGAAGGTAACGCCCTGCGGCTGTGGCTTCGAGGAATACTGGGCCAAGATGCTCTGCAAGATCGACCCGGCCGCCCCCATAGCCGTCGAGGCCCTGGAGACCTACGCCCGGAAGAAGCAGGTGAGCGAGGCAAAACAACGGGGTCGTCTTCGCCGGCATTCGCGCGTAAGCTGCCCGCGTAAGGTCGCGCGTAAGCGCCATCGCTTCCAGTGTGGCGTGTCGCTCTGGCGGCCCGCGTAAGACACCGCGTAAGATTGCTATGCCACCTCGCGTAAGACCCGTTTTTGATCGTCGCTCAGGTGTCTGCAGCCTACCTGACGGGAGGCATGGCGACCAGGGAGGCGTTCGCGAAGGAGAAGAGCGAGCTCCGTGCTGGCCGCGTGGTCTGGTGACGCAGACCGGATCGGCGATCGCCGAGGGTTGCTGCGCGTGGCGCAGAGTGACCCCTGTACAGTTCTAGACCTCCTGGATGGGATCTGAGTAGATGGGGTTGGAGGATCGCGCCGCATCGCCGATGTATCGACGATGCGGCTCGATGCGAAGCCCGATATTCCCCACGCCGACGTCGCCGATGCGTCGCCGACGTCGGCGATGCATCGACGATGCATCGACGATGCATTTGCGATGTGGCGCGATCCTCTAACCCCATCTACTCGAACCCCATCTAGGAGGCCTTCAACAGTGTCTAGGGTGATCTACGCCGCCCGGTTGCCGCCACAATTTACGACAGGGTCGGCCTGCCGCCAGTATCAAGATTTAAGCCCCCGCAGAGTTTGACCGCGGCGCTGTGGCGGGCAGGCGTGTTGGGCTGTAGGGCCTGCGGGGGCCTGTTGAGGCCCAAGGACGATTGCGACCAGTTCGGCACGCCGTGCACCCCTGTGGACGACAGGGGGTCGGCGGATCGAGTGGCCTTCGGTCCATCGCGCCACCGTGTCAGGGTCTTGGACCGGGGTTCTCTTGGAGGTCTCATGGGGAGCCTCTTGTGGACCTCTTGGAGGCCTCATGGCTCATGGGGCCTCTGGCGGCTTCTTGGGGGCGTCGTGGAGGCCTGCTTGCGGTCTCGGGGGGGGCCATCTTGGGGAGGCGGGCTCCTGGGATCCTGTTGAGGTCCCCCCCTTTTAGACCCCACTTGTAGCCTTCTTGGGGGGCCCGGGCCTCTCCTCGCAGGAGCTCACATGAGAAAGCCGTAGGATGTTTGATGCTGTTGGTCACTTTGACCAGCCCCGAGGGCCCCCGAGACGGCCGAAGAGCCCCTGAAATTGTCTCCAACACGAGCCTTTTGGGACCATTTCAGGGCATCTTCAAAGCTTGGATTCCCAACCATTATTCCGAGGCCTCTGGATAAGTCGCCCGACGGACTCTGGCAGCGCCTCAGAGCGCTCGGACAGCCAGGTCAGCCCGCCCCCCACGTCCACTGACCAATCGTGGCACACCCTTCACACGGACCGCGCCCACGGGGCCAGACAGATGTCTTTGGACCTGGATGTTTTGACCGGGACTCACTTTTGTTTTTCAACCGCAAATGCGAACAAGCTTTGGCTCTCGACCCGCCTGGCGCGGGCAGAGCGCCCAGCAGGGCCAGCGGGCCCGGGTGCGCCTTTCCCGCCCTGCGCGCGGCGGCGTGGCGAGAGCGGGACCGTACACGACAATCAGTTTGAATTGTGTGGCGCGAGATGCCCCCCCCCAGTCCCCTAAAATCAGATTGAAGGGTGCGGCAATTTGGGGGGTTCGTGTGGACAGAAGTGTTCGAATCCCAAAGACCATCACCAATACCGAAATCAACATCGATCTCGGGGGCGCGGGGGAGGGGTGATCAGAATACCCGTCAAGCGTGTAAGCGTTCGAACACATGACCCATACACTGGAAGCGCGCCTGTGAGGGACGACGAGGGACGGGGGAGAAGACGAGGGAGCCGTGGCAGGGACAGTGAGAGGATGAGGGAGCCATAGCCAGCTTGCCGGGCCACCCATCGCTAATCAGAGGGCTGAGCGCGGAAATCGGGAGCCACGTGTGGAGCGATATGAGCCAGCCCAGCAACCATGTATCAAGGCAACAGGGGAAGGGAGGAGGGGGAGATAGAGGAAGGAGGAAGAGGAGGGGGGAGTCTCCACCCCCTCCTTTTTCTCCTTCCTCTGTCTCCCCTCCGCTCTCGGAGCGGAGTGGACGGGGGAGTGGACGAGGGAGCCGCAGCAGCAGGAGCGGCAGGAGAAGTCCCGCGTGGACCCTCGGCGGCTCCCCCGCGCCGCGTCCGCGGCGCCAGCTGGGACGTGGCGCCCGCCGTCGCCGACGACGAGCCCATCGGGAGGTGGCCGACGAGCTGCCCCCTCGTCGAGACAGCGCAGGCGGGCCAGGCGAGCGCAGGGAAAGCCAAGAGAGCAATTCATACATGCAGTCAAGTTGCTGACACAAGGACCGCTCTTGGCTCAGCATGGGCTCTGATGCCTGGGGCGTTCTTCAGAATTGGGTCCTGCTTCGGTGTTCCTGATGGCAGCACGATTGCTGCACACCGACGCCCTTTCCTGGCATTCGCCGCTTATGGGGAACAACTCAGACAGTCGAGGCTGATCCGTAGGTCGACCCTGCCAAGTCAACGGTACCTTCGTGCCCTGTGTGTTTCCCGACCCAGTCCTCTACAATCCCATGGCAGTGTGGCCCTCGGAAGGGTCTTGTGTCCTCTCGCGTGTCCCCTCCAACCAGCCCCGACTGTACACCGCCGACTCCCGTTCCTGGAGCTCGCCGTCTGTGGGCCTCTGGGGAGGGCCCTCGCCTCCGCGGTCGCCACGGAGTCCCTGTCAGAACACCCCCTGGAGGCGGTGTCGGTATGTTCTCTTGGCGAAGAGCGACGGGGGACGTGAGAAGGAGGAGGCCTTCTCAGAAGGCAGCGGGGTTTCTCGGAAGCCCTCTGGCCTTCTTATGAGGTTTTCTGCGCCTTCGGGGAAGTGTTCGAAAATTGTTCCGAAGGTTGGAGGACTTCGAACCGTCTGGAAAGGAGCGCCCCAGCTCGCTTCCCCCCTGGCTGGAGGACTTCGAACCTCTTGGACAGGAGCGCCCCAGCTCGCTTCCCCCCCGGGCGGCCTGCCGCCGATGTTTGCTACCCCTTCCCCCTTCGCCCCCCCCCCTCCCCCCCTCGCCCACCCCACCCCGCAGCGTCGACCCCTGACATCTGGGGTCCGCGTAGCACTCGCGACAGATTACCTGTCGCCCGGTTTCGGCTGGGGGCCCCCACGGCTCGATCCGGCTCGAGAACGTCGGCGCCCAGAAGGTGTCGAGGGCTCTAGCGTGCAGATCGTGCTCCGACGTCGCACGTCACCACGAGTCCTACATGATCCCACCCGGAGGGTCCACGGGCTGCGGCACCAGTGACGGCCGACGGCG